CCATATACACCAGCCTCAAATGAGAATTCTTGTTTTAGACATGGAGCTCAGAGGCCTCGTGGGTGAAACCCCCCAAATACCATGGCTAGGTAGAGAAACCTAAAATGAAGTGCCTCTCGGCACCCAGCGGGGTGGCCTCTTCCCTCTTCTCTGCCCCCCCCCCTCACAGACCGAGACCCCTGCTGGGCCCCGCATCCTCCTCAGCCTGCTCCACCGTCCACCTGCAGCTGCCCCAGCGCCGTCCAGGGACACGGTCCACTGTCCTCTGTCCAACCGTCCTCGCGGTTGGCACTTACACATCGTCTTTAACGATTTCTCACTGCAAGACACGGCTGGTGAGTACTGTCACACTCTAAGATTTCATCTGCATTGGAAAGCATCTCCTTAGGTCATTCCCCCCCTGAAAAAGACCGTATCAAGCAGTCTGCACATTCTAAATGCCAGCTCTCTGCAGGAGGATGGCACCATTTCATTCTTGTCCCGGGAAGGAGAGAGGGGATGGATCTCACCGCACCCTGGCCAACATGTCCCTCCAGGCGTGCAGGGCGGGGAGCACCCGGCCCACGAGAACCAAGGACTCGATAAAGGTTCGTTATAGGCAAGAAATATTTCACTCCCCGAGACGCTCAACAGTAAGCAGCCTTGGCTCTGGAGCGCAAATAAGGGAAACACTTAAACAAGCTGAGTTTCGAGGGGGAACAGAGGACTCCAGGAGGGAAGCGAGCAGAACGGCCAGATGCTCGCCGGCACACGGTCTCTGCGCCACACTGAGATCACAGATTCATGTTACAGAATACAAATATCATGAGATATAATTTGTGATGTCAGTAGGGGTAGAAATGTTAAAGAGTGGAGTTTTGGTATGCAGCTGAATTTACATGGTTTTCACTTAAGAAAAGACTCTCATAACTTTTCAACATGCTATGGAATCCCCAGGAGAAAAAGATACCGTAAAATACATGGAAAAGAAATGAAAACAGAGACTGATGTGATGTGTACAAAGGTTGGATGACAATGCTTTACAATGTTTGTAAATAATATTACAAACCAGTATACCTCAATTACCATCAAAACGTGTGAAAATGGAGGGAAATCACCAACAAGAAAGGAGAGAGCAATTAAAGCATATAAGAAAAGGTCAAAAAATGTACAGTGATGCAGTAGGTTGGAAATGGGGTATAAAATGGCTGAGAATACAGCATCCGCAGTGGCGCAGCGGTTGACTGCTGGGTCGAGAAGTTGCCCGCAGCCTCTGCAGCGCCGGTTAGATCTGCGGCCGCCAGCGAGGGTCCCACATGGTGCGCAGACATCTCATGCCGCCCGCTGCTCCCCTCAGCATTGTACTTTCTCAGTCTGCTTATCTGTTCTCCGCTCTGGTTCTGGTGAACTCTCTCTCCCTCCCGTGCTTCTGACTGTACCCCGTGCTTGAATAAATAATAAATAAATCTTAAAATTTTAAAAAAATGAAATGACTGAGAATAGAGGAATCATTCTTTAATAAAGTTAACGCCTCCTTTTCAGTAATACTTTGGTGTAAATAAAAGTCCACAACACAATGACAAATGTGTCTGAATGAATTAAAAATAACACCAATTCAATCTTACCTATATGACACTCCACATAGCCTTCAGCGCACCACGTGGAATGTAAGGTTGGAACTAGATTCTATGAAGACTAATCATGAAAATGGAGCCGTGTGGATCACTCTAATAACATGATCTGAGTCTAAAGCATCACAGAATGAAAAGAATGACCCCAGAAAATAACAGAAAACTACAGGTATTGGGAAGTCATTGTAATATTACCTATACACTAAGATGAGTTCTGAAAGTGTGCCGCAAACAAAGACAGAACTCAATGCAGAAGATGAAAACAATAAAATCAAGGAGCGGTTCAAGGCCCAATTGCAACTGGAAGGAAAATAATGTTATAAATTCAGGAATCAGAGTTGACAAACAGGGGTGAAAAATAATTCGAAATGAAAGGTGTGGTATATAGACAGGATGAAATACTACTGAGCTATGAGAAAGGATACATCTGGCCATGCGCAACAACAGCAATGGAATCCTGGGGGAGGATTATGCTCAGTGAAAAGAATCAGAAGGAGAAAGACTTACTGGATGAATTCACTCCTAGTTGGACTTTGGAAAAACAAGGCAAAGAAACTGACAATACAAACCAAAATAAACTACAGAAATAGGACTGCAGAATGAGAGTACAAAGAGGGAAGGACAGTGGGTGTGGGTACACAAGTGGCAGGGGATTCAAAGATTTATGGAGAAGCCCACAATGCACAGGGGGTGGGTATGGTGGTGACAGACATCTGAGGATAGGAGAATCTATTCCCTGAATAACAAAGAGTGAGGTACACCCATGGTTCCTTGATTCCAAAAAAGTAAGCAATACTGAGAAAACATTGCAACAAAGCAAACTCCCCAAAACATGTGATTCAGAAAACAATACTAAGAGGTAAATATAAAGCATTAAACAATTACACTAGCAATAAGAGAGATCTCAGTTGAACAACATAACTTCACACCTCTAGGAATTAGAAAAAGAATAATTTTAGCTCCATATTGGCAGAAAGGAGGACGTTGAAAAAAATAAGAAATACATAAATAGCACATTATGGCCAAAGAGCAGGTGCTTTTCTATGAAAGGAAGTCTGGATTTTGAAAGATCAACAAAATGGACAAAACCTAAGTTCAATTCAGTAAGAAGGAAAGGCAGAGGCCTCAAGTGTCAGAGAGAAGACGCCCCCAGGGAGAGCAAGACTAAGACTCCAAGACAAAACAGGTGCATGTCTGCAACCCCTGAAACAGAGCTTCCCAGACATTTAGGATGCTTTCCTGTGGACCACCTGTGTCCTCTGCTGGATTCATTCCACCTACCTAGGAGGAGGACAGGATTTGCACTTCTCTTCACATCCCAGGGCTCCATTTTTTTTTGCTCCAACAAGATGACCAGCTCGGGCGTAGACACAGCAAGACCTGTTTATTAGGACAGGTGATATGAGAGGTCGTGGAGATTCTCAAATTCCCAATACAGTATTGTGTTCAGTAGAAGGGACAGGATAGAAGGGTCTGGAAAAGGATCACTGCTAATACTTTCTCTGACAGCACGTTTACCAGAAATCATTGAAATTTTCATATCCTAAGAATCATTTCTAGACCTCTGAGTCCTAGCAATGTGGTAGAAGCCGGAATTTTGCTTGTAGCAATAACGCATAAGCCACATATTTTCTTGAATGAGCACTCATACAGAGAGCAGGCTGCAGATCATCCTAAGACAGGAGAAATTTAAGCCATGATGAAACATCATGAGACTTTGTTTCCAACAAACCCACACTGTTGTTCTTTAAAATAAGGGCGTCGGGCCTCCCCGGTGGCGCAGCGGTTGAGCGCCGGGTTGCGAAGCTCCCCGTGGCCTCTGCAGCGCAGGTTTGATCCCCGGCTGCTCCCTGGCCACCGGAGGAGGGTCCCACAGGGCGTGCAGACTTCTCCTGCCCCCTGCTGCTCCCCTCAGCAGTGTACTTTGGTCCTACTGCCTGCTCTGCTCCCCGCTCTGGCTCTGGTGAATTCTCTCACCCTCCCGTGCTTCTGACTGTACCCAGTGCTTGTATAAACAAACAAACAAACAAATAAATAATATATCAAATATGTTCCTCTTTAAAAATAAAAAATAAAAAATAATAAAAATAAAATAAATAAAAAAATTTTTTTAATTAAAAAAAAATAGGGGCCTAAAAGTATCCGACAATTCTGGGCATCCCTGGAGCACATCCACACGCTGTACAGGAAACACTGAGGGCAGATGAGGAAATCTGGAGGGATATTCTCCTCACCCAAGGACACCACATTTCTGTAGGTCTCTAGCATCATGTCCCTGTACAATTTCCACTGCAGCTGCTCCAGGCCCTCCTGCTCCTTGCGTGAGAATTCAATGGGCACATCTCTGCAGGTCAAGGGTTCCCGAAATCAAAATATACAGTTACTACATGGCCACCAGCAGAACTCTAAATAGGACACAAGGTGAAAAGAGAGTTGTGAGGAGCCCCATGATGGCACAAGGGGTTCAGTCTCAGCACTATGAAGCTATGACAACCACTGAAGGACAAGTTTGATCCCTGGACAGGGAACTGACTCACATGGCGCAGCAGACCCTCCTGTCTCGTCCACTGCTCCCCTCAGAAGCGTATTTCAGTCAGTCTGCCTGTTCTGCTCCCCACTCTGTCTCTGGTAAATCATCTCACCCCCCACAATCCCTCACCTCTGGCCCATATCTCACCAATATATGTATAAGTAAATAAAATAAATCTTTAAAAAAGGGGGGAGACCTGGTTCTGAGAAAGAAGAAAGCCCTTATGCAGTGACAACCATGTTTACACAGGAACAGTCTAATGCACCCACTGAGCCCAGAGGATCACATATGCCCATGAAACCACCATGGGCGCTATAATTTCAGTGAAATCAAATCTGGCCCAGGGCACATATCTGTACAACAAGAAGACAGGACAATTGGAAAATTCATAGTAGAAACAGAGATGAAACACTGAAAGGAAATTGTAGGTAATGATCAAATGCTAAGCAAAGCGACAACAACAAAAACGATCATATTTTTAAAGATTTTTTTAATTTATGCATACAACAACTGGGTACAGGTCAGAGGTGCGGGAGGTGAGAGGAGTCACCAGAGAGACAAAGTGGGGCACAGAACAGGCAGACTGACTGAAGGACACTGCTGAGGGGAGCAGCGGATTAGAAGGGAGAGGTCTGCTGTGCCATGAGGGCAGCCTCGTGGCCTGCCAGGGATCGAACTCGTGCTGCCTGGGTTGCGGACAGCTTCACAGTGCTGTGCTTAACCTTTGTCCCACCAGGGAGACCCCGTTCCCACAGCATTCATTAGACTCATGTATGAACCAGATATAATTCTCTGAGCTTTTAATATAATTCATCTTTTATGTGACCATTTCCTCAAACACCCACGAAATTACAGACCAGGGTTTTCCCTACAGATCTGAGCTAAAATGAATCAGAGAGGACCTGAAATGAATGAGCACAGCAGGTTTTGTAGCCGACAAGAATGGTTTGGTTAAAAAAGGGAAAGACACAGGAGACAGTATATAATGTTACGTTTCAATTACTAAAAATGGGACCACATACACACTACATGGATGAATGTAGGCTTGTCAACGAATTCAAGATTATTCAAATACTATGAAGGAAAGCGAGCTGTGGGTGATACTATGTGCATACTTCAAACCCACTAGGTACACATACAACATGGAATCCATTGTAATAAAAGCTGTTGTGCCCAAGATCAGCAGACTCGGCGAGCATAGCCTCCAAGAATCCAAAGACATCTGGTGTAAGTGCAAAAGGGAGTTTATTACGGGCTCGAGTCCGGGCCCTCGCCACGCACCGATGCAACAGCAGAGGTCGAGAGCCCCGAACAGAGGAAGCAGGGGTATCTTATAGGGTCGCGAGTGGCGCGAATTTTGAAAGAAGCTGGCAATTACTCATTGGCTACTACAAAGGCATTGTGGTGCGCGGATACAGTTCCACACTGACTGGATGGTTAGAGATGCTGTCCCATGTATGGACAGGACTGCCCTCATTGGCGGCTGGGGTGGTCTGCCTTTTCGTCACCAAGTGGAGTGAGGGTTGTGACTGCTGAAACTATCTCCGGAATGCGGCTGGACAAGGACAAACAAAATGGCGAAACCTCGGCTAAGCGTGGTTCCACAAAAGCTACTGTTTTTGAGTGCAATTTCTCAAAAAAATGTTACATTATATAGGTTCAACTACTTTAAAATTTTACTACAATTCAATACATGATAACATTTTGGGTTCATTTCTCTGGAAGTATCAACAAGCTATGAGAGAGAACGTGTGTGAAATGACTGGCATTTCCATTGACATTCACACCGAAAGGAATGAAATAACTGTGACTGTACCATTCAAGTGAAAGAAGGAGGTGAGGGACCTGAACCCTGAAAATTAAAAAACTCTATTAAAGGAAATAAAAGACACAGAGAAATACAAACATGTCCCATCCTGCTAGGTGGGGAGAATGAACATCATAAATGGCCTTATTGTCTAGAGCAATTTACAAACTTATGCAATACCTACCAAATACCAGGGATATTTTTATAAGGAAATAGAACAATCCCCACATTTATATGAACCCACAGAAGGTCCCAAATAGCAAAAAATCTTGGGAGAAAAGAAGAAAATGTAAGTATCACATTTCGTGACTTCAAAATATATGTAACGCCAACAGTAATCACAACATTACTTTACTGGAACAAAACCAGAACTCAGAGCAATGGAAGGCAACTAAAAACCCAGAGAGCAAGTGATATAAATATGAAGAGTTCAATCTTGGACAAAGGAGCTAAAATCATACAATTCAGAAAGACAGCCTCTTTAATAAATAGTACTGGGATGGGCCCCCCTGGCGGCCTAGGGGTTAAGAGTCAGTGCTATCACGGCTATTCCAGGCCAGAGAGCTGACCCCCATGTGGGACAGCCGACCTCACCTGTCCCTCTCACTGATTCCCCGAGCAGTGTATTTCAGTGGATCTGCCTGTTCTGCTCCGTACTGTGTTTCTGGCGAATATTCTCAAGTCTGGAACATCTAGTCTACACCCCAGTTCTTCTATGCATAAATAAATAAATACATATTTTTTAAATATGGTGCAGGGGGCCTCCCCGGTGGCGCAGCAGTTGAGCGCTGGGTTGCGCAGCTGCTCTCAGCCTCTGCAGAGATGGTTCTATCCCCAGCTGCTCCCCGGCCGCCAGAGGAGGGTCCCACATGGCGCGCAGACATCCCCTGCCGCCCGCTGCTCCCCTCAGCAGCGTAACTCTGTCCCTCTGCCTGCTCTGCTCCCCGCTCTGGCTCTGGTGAATTCTCTCACCCTCCAGTGCTTCTGACTGTACCCAGTGCTTGTATAAACAAAACAAACAAACAAATAAACATGCCTCTATTTAAAAAAATATATGGTGCAGGGAAACATGAATAATGACTTGCAAAAATAAGAACCAAGACCCATTCAAAACTCCATACAGAGCCTCCCTGGTGGCGCAACATATGAAGGTATCCATAGCCACTGCAGCATGAGTTCGATCCCCAGGTAGGGAGCTACCCATATGGTGCAGCAGACCTCTCCTGACTCGCCCGCTGCTCCCCTCACCAGTGTATTTCAGTCAGTCTGCCTGTTCTGTTCCTCACTCTGTCCCTGGTTGTGATACATATTGAATCATCTCACCCCCACACCTCCGGCCTGTACCCCAGTTCTTGTATGCATAAATAAATAAATCTTTAAAAGAAAAACTCCATACAGAAAACTAATTCCAAATGGATTAAAAGTGTGGACATAAGAGCCCAAAGCATGAAGCACTGAAAGAAAATGAAAGGGTACACTACAGGACATCTGCTGCAAAATGCACGAGGGAACACAACCCAACACCAAGGGAACCAAGAGCAAGTTTCACAAGTGGGACAACACCAAATCTCAAAGCTTTTAGAACTCAAAAGAAACCAGCACAGAAACAGAAAGGCATCCTACAGAACAGAACACACGCAACACATCTGACAAGGGGTTCATCCCAAAATTTGTAACGTTCCCACCCAGTGCGAAAAACCAACCTATGAGTCAATTGAAAAGGGCAAAGGAAATAAACCCTTTGCTAAAGAGGAAATTCCGAGGTCCAACAGACATAGGAATGTTCACCTTAATTTACTGTAAGAGAAATGCCAATTAAAACCACACTGAGATGCCACCTCAACACTTGAGAATGGTCCAAATAAAAAAGAGTGAAAAGAACAACGCTGGAGAGGGCGCAGAGAAAAGGGAGCTCTCACCCACGGCTGGTGGCCATGAGAGTTGGACAGTCCCTGTGGAAAAGGGTGCACCCCCGCACCTCTGGCCTGTACCCACCTCTTACACGCACACACAAATAAAAATGAATCTTTTAAATCGAGCTTGAGGGGAGGGTAAATCGAGCTTGGGGGAAATACACTCACTGGGCAGCAGGCTGAGCCACACAGCAGGGCTGCAGCAGACAGGCCCGGCACAGGAAGGTGAGGGGCCAACGGCCTCCCCTCCTCACCAGGGGAGTATCATGGAGGACGAAAAAGACAGGGGTTGCTGACAGGTCAATTTCCATCTGGTCATGACCAAGAGGCTGAGCTGACCCAGCACGGGCATTAATCGGATGCAGGGCTGTGAGCCTGTGTGGCCCCTGGGGAGGACACTCGCGGCTCTACGGGCGCCTCTGTGACAGGAGGATTACACTTACTGGGCGCTCCTGGGAGTCAGACGGAGGGGCTCCGACAGGCGGCGGGAGGGTGCCCTTTTGTGAGACTCATTTCCACGAGTAAGGGAACATCCCCGAGAGGAGGCGTCCAGGTTGTCACGTTGGAAGGACTTGTCCAAATGTCTCCGTTCCTTATCACAGGGGGAGGCGGCCCCTTAGGACCGCACCACTCGGACCCTTGTCGCTGGGCTCCCCACTGCCCCCCAGGGCTGATCCCCATCCTCTGTCCTTTCTCTAGGGTTGAAGATGTCCTTGCAGAGGGGCAGAGGCCAGGTTGGCGGGTCACTCAGTGTTCCTGGGTCTCCCCAGGTGAGCGAGGAGGTGTCCGTGTTTCCTCAAGTGCATTTTCTCCCTCGGATGCCCTGGACTCCGGGAAGGTCTCCATGGAGAGCCTGCAGGGTGGATGAGGTGACGTGTCCTCCTCCCAGGATCCCCACGAGCAGACCCGGAGGAGTTTACAGACGGGGAGACAGGGGGTGCCTCAGGGCGAACCCGAAGGGAAGGGTTGACCCAGGTGGGGGGTCCTCAGCCCTAAGGAGCAGAGAGAAAAGGGACCTTAAAGGATCACCTCAGGGCGAGAGGAGGGAAAGCCCGGGGAGACGAGGAAAGGGAAGTCGCTTGGCAGCGCCAGGGGCAGACCCGGAGGCACCCTGAGACCCCAGACCCTGTGCACCCTCCACCGGTGCTGCCATCTGCCGCGTGCAGGGCAAACACCCCCTCACGTAACAGCCCTGTCGTGGAAAACAACAGGGTTGGGGTGCAAGGGAGAGAAGGACAGAGTTAGACGGTTTGCAAGGAACCAAAGCCTCCCGGGCCTGTGGGGTCAGTCCCGTGACCCCCAGTGATGACCCCGGCTTTGGGCATCACCTGCCGCGTCCTCTCTGCAAGTCCCCCCTCCGCGGGCTGTGGGGGAGAGGACACCCCTGACCTGCCCTCAGGCTCCTGAGTTTTAGGGGACTTGCTGTCGGGGTCTCCGCTGCCTCAGTTATCTGTTCTGAACGGACCTGCCCCAACAAGGGGCCTGAGCCACAAGGGGTCTCTGTCCCCCCCCACCCCCGCCTCTTTCAGTCCTGCCCACGCTGCAGAGTGATGCCCAGACCCACTGCGGGGACGTCCCCGGGGGCAAACACCTGCCCAAGAGGGCGGCTTCTGCACGGGAGAATCCAGCTCGCCAGGGAGGTCCACGGGAATGTGGAAGGGGAGACCCCAGCAGGCGGCACCTCCGGGCAGCCACCTGCAAGGGAGCAGAATAGCCCCCCCACATGCCGCTGTGGCCCAAGATTCAGTGCAGGACAGGCCCTTGAGAAAAAGCTGGGTCAAGAACACCAGCCCCCACCCCCCTGAAAGAAGGAGCTGAATCTCCCCTGCCCGGGGCTGCCCCAGGGAGAGGGGGGCTCACAGGGGTCTGCGGGTTCGTCTCCCCTGCCTGGGGCCCCGACCTTCCCTGGCTGCTGTCCCCGCAGAGCCTGCCCTGCCCCAAGGGCGGCGCCCCCTGGGGTGCGAGGACCTGCCTGGAGCCTGCTCCTCTCCCTGGAGCAGAGATGTGTGCGGGGACGGGACACCTGATGCCCCCACTATTCGAAATGCCTTCCCGGTTCGTGCGCATCACAGGGCTGGGTGGAGGCTCCTCTGCACTTACCCGGCAATTTCTCTCCCACAAAGTTTTCCTCTAATGCCACAAAGAGCAGCACGTGGAGCCCCCGCACATCTTCTGGCCAAGACAGAGAGAAGCTGTTTAAACAACGAGGGGAAGGATGGACATTTTCCCAGGTAACAGAAGTCACCGAACAGATCTGAAGACCCGCTGAACGAAGGTTTCCCTGGAGGCCTGGCTGCTGCCTGCGCGGTGGGTGAACTGCAGCGCGCCCTGGGCGAAGCGTCACCGGGCGGGTGGGGCTCAAAGGGCAGACTGAACTTTCAGGGCGCCCCGTCCTGCCCCCAGGGCTCTGATGGAAACTGTTTTTGGGCCACAGATCTTGGAAACAGCGAGAAGGATGGGACCAAGGCCAAAGTCGGAAAATGTCTTTCAAAATCTTTTTATGGGCCTCCCTGGTGGCGCAGGCGGTTGAGGGCCGCACCGTGAAGCAATCCGCAGCCGCTGCAGCACGGGTTCAATCCCTGCAGGTCAGGGAGCAACCCACACGGAGAGGCAGACCTCTCCTGTCTCGCCCGCTGCTCCCCTCAGCAGCATATGTCAGTCTGCTCTTCTGTTCCCCACTCTCCGGTGGATCCTCTCACCCCCTGCATCTCTGGCCTGTATCCCAGCTCTTGTATGCATAAATAAATTAATATTAAAAAAAGTCATTTTATGGCTCCTCCCTAGTGGGGCAAGGGGTTGGGATGCTGGCTATGGGGCTGTCCTCGGCCACTGCAGCGCAGGTTGGATCCCTGGCCAGGGAGATACCCAGGTGTACAGCAGACCTCTCCTGCCTCCCCGCTGCTCCCCTCAGCAGTATATTTCGTCAGTCTGCCTGTTCTGCTCCCCGCTGTCTCCGGTGTATCCTCTCACCCTCCCACGCATGTGGCCTCTACTCCGGTTCTTGTATTACAATAAATAAATCTTTAATAAATAAATGAATGAATAAATAAATAAAAAGGTGGACTGCGGTCCTCACTCTAACTTGACTTCAAAGCTCACCCAACTTTCCTGAGAGTCTGACGAGCCTCCCAGTGATCAGGCGCACAACACTGTCCCTAACTAAACTAAGAAACCAGTAGTTTTCACTGGCCTTGGGACTCTGCACACACAGCAAGCCAACCCTCCTGCTGAGTCCCTGGCTTTGTGCCTTACTCCAGCATTTCAGGGCTCCCAGGCTGGGTGTTGCCCTAACTAGGGACACAGGGGATTTAGAACAGCTACTCTGCCCACCGACATTCTTTTCAGTCTAAGGGCACTCGAAAAATGGGCTGCGTCCCTGGTGCAATGTGCTCTCATGTCCCAACCCCAACACTTGCTATTCTACTACTGCTCGGCTTGTGACTAAGCCTACACTCAGCGGCTGGCCCCAATGACTTTGCTCCAGGGCAGGGAGGGGGCAGCCCAGACCTGCAACCCTGCCTGCTCTAAACAGGTTCTGCCATCCTGCTTCCTTCCTTCTCAGTCTCCTCTGCAGCTTCTCCTCTCCCTGCTCAGCTCCACCCTCCCTTGGGTGGGGCAGGGAACCTGGAACCTCCCCTTTCCTGGGGACCCCCTGTTACAACTTCACCTGTGACCGAGGGCCCTTAGCCGCTGCTGTACTTCTCATTCTCCTCTTCAAATCTTAACATACACAATCTCCTACTCAAATTTGTTTCTTCTAAGCGAGGGGGAGCGCCTCAAGGTTAAACTCCTCCTCCCAACAAACAGCTCACCCCTCCAAGGGGAACGGCCTGTCCAGATGCCCCCCTCACCTCCTTCCAGAACCACCAACAGGCAGCTCAGGGACGAGTGTCAGGGAGACCATCTCCCGGGCCCCTGGAGGCAGGGCCAGCTCTACATGCCACTCCAGCAGGGAGCAGCTCCTGAAAATGGACCTCCTCCCTTCAACTCCCCAAGAGATTTTGGGCTGGATAAGGTTGGGGGGGGGATGATGGAGGACAAGAATGGAAAGACTGGAAAGGACGAGCCCCAAGGCCAAATCCTGACTCACACTAGGAGGTGGGGGTCGAGGACATGCACAGGACCCTTACCCAGCTGTGCAGGTCGGGGACCCTCAGGCGCCAGCGCCTTGTCAGGAGGCAGGAAGGGAGCAGGGTCCCTGCTCTAGGGAGTGGGGCACAGGCCTGAGGGGAAGGATGTGGAGACGGGCCCACCCCGGAATCTCTGGTCCCTTTCTAGCGCTGCCTGTTGCCCAACATCCGCAGCAAGCAGCCGCTCCCGGAGGAGCGCGCCTCCCAAGGAGAAAGGGGCTGTGGCAGGGCAGGCTCCGCACAGGCCCGGGGCAGCCGCCCCCCTGCCCGCCCGGGACCACGCAGGAGCCTCTTCTCACCAGCTCTCGCCTCTGCGGGGCGCAGCCTCCTGGCGGGTGGCCGGTACCTGCCAGGACGTCTCCAGGGACCTCCCTCAGCGGAGGCCGCTCTCCTCAAGGCCGCCGCCTGCAACCGCGCAGGCCTCGCTCAGCAAACCTGCCCCTTCCCTTCCCCGGAGAAACCTGCCCTGTAAACACAACTAACGACTCCGTCTCGTGGAGGAGCGACCTGGGGAACTCCCGGGGGCTGCTGAAACACGGTCTGGGGAAACATTTCCCAGGATCTCAGGCTCCAAAAACCCCATCACCCCCACTCTATTCCTGGAGACCCACGGAAAAAAAAAAGGCAGTTCTGGAAGGACACTAGGGAAGATCTCTGGCGCCACCTAGTGCCCAGAACAAAATCACCACCTTCCTGATGGTGGGAAGCCAGGGATCCCCAAACCACCCTCAGGTGCTGAGAGGGGCTGGGCCGCGCCTACGGGGTAAGAAGGGAAACCAGGCGTGGAGCAGGACCCCATCCTGGAGCGGAGAGCCAGACGCTGGACCCGGGGCTGGACGCGCCCTAGCAGCGGGCACTGCACAGGGCGACAGCCAGCGTTTTGGACCTGACAGCCCTGGAACTGAGACCTAGAGCGCAGCATTCGGGGGCGGGATCCACACAGCTGCGGGCACAGCACCAGGTGAATGCGCGGCAGATACAGCACCCGGCTTGAATGACAACCCCTGTGTTGAGGTGCCCCCCCCCCCCCCCGCCTTTTCTCAGAGAACCACTGGGGAAAAGCAAGGTCAGCAAGTGCAGGTCTCTGGCGCCACCCGGTGACCAGAACAAAGCCACTGAGAGTGCCTTTGGGTTTCCAGGTCGGCGGATTGGGAAGGACACATTAAAGACTTTATCTCCCTATTTTCTCCCTGAGTTGTACATTTCCCTTATTTCCTTTTCCTTGTAAATAGACCTTTTATTAACCTTTTGTGTGTGCCTGTAGTGGAGTATTCATAAGTCCCTTGTAAGCACGCGGGTCAGGACCCACAGCCAGGCAACCCCTTCAATATTGGGCCTGCCCTATAACACTAGGAGAAAATATAATCCCTGGTCTACAAAACAAGAAATGGGCCTAATATGAGAAAAACCAAGATCATAAAGAAATTCCAGATTTAGGAAGGAACGACGAGCTCCTGCATTGGAACTAAAACTTAGGACAAGGGCTGCCTGCAAAGGCCACCCCGATGGAAAAAATACATCATCACATTTGACAGCTGAGCAGTTGGTACTTTGAGCTTTGACTAAGTGCTCTCCCTTCCTCACTGCTCAGAACTGCTCTTAGGTGTACTACACTATTATAAGATGTGAGAATGTTATGTGTGTGCTGTGATGTTCCCCCTGGCGGCAAGGATTTGTTGCAATTTGATTGTCTAAATGGGTGGGCCAAATGCTGAATGCATGAACATCAGACCAGCTCAGAAAGGCCTGAATACAAAGATCATGGAGACCCTGCTACTCGTGTCGTCTGACAAAAGTCCGGGCATGGGGCAGATTTCTGAAAAATCAGGAATCTCATTAGCTGACTCCTGCCAGAGTCTCCTCGTTTGTTTAGGGCTAGTTTCTACCACTGCTAAAATACGCATTTAAAAGCAAAACTGCAAATACTGATCAATCACTGAATAACCAGTTTGATGGCAAATGGCAGTGCGTGATACAAATATTACATTTTTCATAAGTAGTTTTCTGCCAAAGGCAGCAAAATTCAACATTTGGCCTTACTTGAACAAGTGACAAAACTTCTGGGAACAAAAGGCTGTAAACATCCCTGGGCCAAGTCTTTTCGCATGGAGATGTGGCCATTTAAGGCAAGGGCTAACTGGAGGAAAGTCTTTTACTTGACAGTTAAAGATAACAGTTGAATGTCAGAGGTGAGCCAAGCTCCAGGTAGAAGAAAACTCTTGATAAGTCAGAAGGCACCATAGTCTCCTGCTAAATCATTCCTCTTTATTTGGGGCTACTTGGTATGGAAGCTGTTAGAGGACACATTCGAGAATAAATCGACAGCAGTTTTGTGACTGGCTGAGCTAGCTATAACCATCTTTGGCCATGACTCTGATAAAATGTTGGTAACTCCTTCCAACTACAAAAACCATCAGCAATCTTACAGAGAACGGAATTTTCCCTTAATCTTAAAGTTAGACATGGAAACTAGGCTGCCTAGATAAGTAGAAGGGTAATAGGCAGAAAACTCCTTGTTTACATTAGGGGAATTCCTCCCTGAAGGGAGAGCTGGGGCCTAGGGAGGAGTCAGTGCAGCTTGCCTGGCACCATCACCCTCCAGGCCCTGGGTTCCTTCATAGCCCATCAATATTAAAACAACATACTATGGATGACAACTTCTAGATAAACGCCTTCTGGTTTCTGCTTTAATCAATGAGTTATATGTTAGTCTCAACTTTACAGGTTAGTTAGAAAAAAATCCCTCTGTCTCCCTTCCCCCAGGTAACTTCCTGCCCTTTGTTTCCCCAGCCCTTAGTTCATCCTTCACTCAGGAAACGTGGCCATGTGAGTGCAGCCTCAGAAGCCTTTTGCTAGTAAAAGGCTTTCAAAGAAATGACTATTCTGAGAAACTTTTGTTGACCTAATGAGCCTCCTTTAAATCAAAAAACAATAAATGTCACAGCCTCTGCAAAAGGGTCAATCAACCCTGGCTGTGTTACCGAACGCCGGCCTCAGTTTCCCTCAGCCAATAAAAGGAAACTGAGTTTGAGGAAAAGGAAAGCGGTTTTATTTGTCGACAAATGAGGAGGGCGGCAGACTCATGTCCGAAAAACCACCGTCCTGCTCTTTGGCAGTGGGCAGGGGTATT